CACCATGCCAGGCCAGCAAAGGCCGCGGTATAACCAAACAGTAACGACGAGTCATCCAGAGACCCTTAGGGAATAAAGAAGCACTCCGAACCCCTCTTGCCGATATCAGTAAACAATTCCAGGCCTTAGCAGGCAATGTGGAAGGAGCCTTTGAGCAGCAGACCCAGATCCAACAACAGGCATGCCAGGGGGACCTAGAGATAATATGGGCACAGCTTATGGAGGTTATAAGCAACTGGAAAGCAGAACAACAGGTCCGGGAAGAGAGCTACCTACAGAGGATTTCTTCTCTAGAACTAGAAGTTAGCAAGCTTCGCACAGAGCTTATGGCAACCAACCAGCAAGCCCCTATATCAGACCTGCCAGCTCACCCAGACCAGGCGCACAGACCAGCAAGCAGAGCCGCAAGCAACAACCAGATCAAAGACCAACAGCCAAAGACCCCAACGCAGAGACCCCTAGAAGCTCTGAAACAACTGGCAAAGAAAGGAACCTCATATGCAGATGTGGCAGCCCTGATGGCCACTAGGCCTGGGGGCCAGGAGTGGCAGGTGGTGATGGAAATCGAGAATGAGGAGATATCTGAAGTTCCAAGGGTCTCTGGCTGCAGTTCCGTGTTCTGTTCCGCTCATATGTCTCGCTTTGTCCTTTCCTTTGCAGAGTTCTATGTCGGGAACCAAGGCTATAACTGATGGAGGAGGCTTCTTCGCCGGTCGAAATAGCCGTGTCGGGTGATCCTGTTCAATATTTTACACTGGTTGCAAATGGAGTTATTCATCACCAAACAACCTCTTGCATGTGTAAGAGCACGGCATGTTCTAGATGGTAGGGCCGCAGTATTGTCTCGACAGTTCCGTCTGCAATCCACCGACTTTCCCAATCAGGGTGATATAGGGCCTTGACATATTCCCAATATTCGGGGTAGAAGCCGGCCATTTCCCAGTCGATTAAAGCGACAACTTGGTCTCCACAGACAAGAATGTTTCTTGGGGAGAAATCGGAGTGTGTCAGAACTATCTCATGTTGTGGCATCGCCTTTATGAATCTGGAAACCTAATCGACCCACGAGTTCTCCTGGGAAAGCTTCATTGCTCTGATTAGGCCATCGTTGAATTCATCTTCGGTTTTGTAAGGGCCAAATGCGCCTAAGTCTGCACAAAACACCGGATCTTCGCAAGCAGTCCCATCAACCGAACCGATAAAGTCACCCTTGATGGATCGCAGCTCAGCCATGTAGCTTTTGAGTTGCGACACCAATCTTCTGACGTCGTTCGTCGTCCATATCTTCCCACACATCTCGAAGAACATCTCCCTCAATATACTCCATGACGATAACGCCACGATTGAGAGATTCATCTGTATATGCATTATAGACTTCCGGGACTGGAATCGACATCCGTGTGCGAACAAATCGCAGAGCCTCTGCTTCTGCAAGGCGAGACGGGTCGCATAGCTTGACAACTGTTTTCTCATCAATTCGATAGAGATTGACAAGGCTATCTGGTACCAGGCGGTTAGACTCCGTGAGTTCGGATTTGTCGATTCTTCGCGCCATGTTCGACTCGACAGGTTCACAGATAAGGCGTTGTTAGGCGCCGGTTTTTGTGTCCTGGGAAAAATGTGCAATCATAGCAGGTAAATACGAGACCCTGTAGATGATATGCAGTCCCAGTTCGGACTCTATGAGTGACGTTTGAAGGACAGGTAGGAGGTCTCAAAAGACAAGGCAAGTGTAAATTCTTGCTGTGTTGGTGGCCATTACCTCCCCGCACTACGACTATGTATGCGTTGGTGCCCCACATTTGCCGGCGGCTAATTGGGCAGTGCGCAAGTCCGTATACTGACAACCTCTAGCTAAAGAGGGAGAATACCTCTTTGAGATCCAATCCTACTCTCACTAACTCTTTGAACCGGCTCGACCGCTTCCTGGATGTACATTTGTTCTTCAGAGGGACTGGAATCTTCATGCCCAATGCGGTTACTATCTCGATTACTAGTTCTGACAAAAGAAAAGAAGGTAAGAGAAGAGAAAGGAAGAAGAAAGGAAGAAGAATACAAGGGACGGAGAACAGGCGCACACCCCTTAGCCCATATAGCCGACACTTTTATTTAAAAAAAACATTGTGAACTCGCAACATTATCGACTTTCGGTAGCATTGAGGCGTGAGCCAGGGCCCCAGGTTCGCAGAAATTGGAAGGGATATTATAGGATTTATTCCATCATGATGTTAGGTTGATGTTTGCTGCTGCTAGGTAACTTCCATCAGAACCTATATGTAGGTGCTGCCTAGATATAAATACCTGGTTAAGTAGGGGATGTTAGGGCACGTACACCGCCATCACTGATTGGTCAGATTCCGATCATCGGCGACCTCCGATAATAACCTGATATATCCTGATTTGGAATAATGACATGACATGACATGACATGACATGGCACTCGCCAGATGGCAAGAGGAATTATGGGTGGCGTGATTGCGGAGATGGTGTGTAAATGAAATTTTTTGATTGGTGCTTAGCATAGTTTAGAGATTCCCTTCATTCTATTTGACGGTGGAGATAATCGCTCGAGTGTCTCCAACTGTGTAGGTGTCCTCTGTTTATACAGTTCCTGATATCAATTATTTTAGTGGCGGCAGCTACACCACGAGTCCGAATCGAGCCCCTGGCGATTTAAAGGTGTCTTGGAAATGGAGTTCTTCAATGCGCACCTCTCCATCCCTGGCAGATCAAAGAGAATATAGACAGGTTTTGGCTCAAGTGAACTTTGTTGCCGTCAAGCGGCTGGATGGAAATGGACGTCTGGCTGTTGCCGCTGCCATCCCGTGGACGAGTGGTGGAGTAGGACGGCCTTTTGTTCTATTAGGATTATGGTATCTTGGCATGCTTGCAGCAGAAGACAGCAACTGGGCTTTGAACGTTTAGAACGACTCGATGAGTTGCTTCTTGGCATTGGAACCAGCTGTGGACGAATGGAGGATTCATTCATTGATCAGTTGTCATACAGAGATCTAGCACGTATGTTTGTGGCCATGCGGGTACTGTTTAGCCACACTAGGTAACACAGCATTCGCTCAATGAGGTCATATGTACACCCTGATAGTAGGATAAACAGACCGTCACTGATAAGTTTGACCGGCTGTATGCCAGGATTAAGTTTGGTTGGATCTCTTGCGTTTCGAACACCTCGTCGAAGATGACGGAATTGTAAACTTCAGCTTTGTCGACCAGCGCACCCGCAGAGACCTCAAACTCCTGCCAGGAAAGCGCTTCCTGAATGCCCTCTCAACCTCGTCCCACGAAAGCCCTTGTTCCACCAATATCCGCAAAAGATCATCTTCCACTTTTGAGTACAGCTGGGCCCTGAAATACGAGGGACGAACCGTCTCTAAATTGCGAGCGGCTTGCGGCGTTGCTTCGACCCTCCCTGTCCGCTAGAGCCATGGGAGATTTCTAAATCCCGTCAGACAAGATCCTTGAGAACGAGAGCATCGAACGTACCTTTGGTCGGGGGAGCGACTTTACGTATATCGACCGCGCGCACCAGAGCAACTTGATGTCAAAACCGGGTTCGAATACCCCAAATTGGGGGGGCGTGTTGGGGTCGCGAGAGTTTTTTTTTTTTAATTATTAAGACCTAATAATAGTTAAAAACAGTTGCAAATTAAATACCATTTTTTAACCATCAAAAAATGGTAGGCCCCCGAAAGACCGTCATATGATGGTAGTTTAAAACCCCGGCAATCCTGTAAGGTAGTGCATTTTACATTCTTTCTGGGGGTGACCGGAGTAGATTTATTGGCTTGACGTCAGACCTTCCAGCATGCTTTGAGATTGTCTGCCACTCTCTGGATGCCCCTATTCTGGCTTTCGGCCATACACAACGTAACTACAGCAGACCACATCAGCACCGTTCACGACCAATGGAGGATTATTAGGTACATACAAGTTAAACAGCGGATGGATATTGCGATTGTGAGCATCTGCTACCGCCTTCTTCGCCAGGTCGACAACATCTTCTTTGGACCAGTTCTCGAACCGGGTCAGCACAGCTAGGCCCCCGGCTTCAAAGCCTTGCTCCGCTTGCAGCATGCACCAGGTTCCGACTTTTTTCTACATGCAAATATTCATCTTAGCTTGCAAGGTCTAAGAAGAAAAGTGTGAACAGGGGGTGGTGGGAGGAGGGGGAATTTATGTACGTAATACTTATCATTCGGCCAGGTGCCCATTGGAACGCGATACTTTCGCACCTGGACATCCACAAATCCCGCATCTCGGAACCATTGCTCCAAATGCGGTCCCGGTGACGTTTCATAGCCATTCCTCTCAAATGCTCCCAATACCTCGTTGTAATACCGCTTGATGGAGGTGCCTTTCGTGCTGTTATCCTCCGAGGTAATCCGCGAATCCCAGTCCTGGAATTCGACCCAGCCGCCGGGTTTAGCGTAGCTACCACCGATGTTAGAGTATATATACTTATAGACAAGTCGCAATATGTGCAGTCTTACCGATAACACTGCCTCACCAGCCGGGGAAAGTTTTTTATCGAAACAGAGAGATAGCGGGCGTGGATAAAGTCAAAAGGGTTATTACCGTACTCCCAGTCTGCTTCGATATCGTCGACCAGGAACTTCACATTGGGGGGAACCCTAAGGCGTGAAAGAAAGCGTTGTTAGCCCAGGTGAGCACGTTTAGAGATTGCAGATAGCACTGACATGTTTGGCTGCGTAGGACTGAGGTCGCATCCGATGACCTGTCCGGCATCAGTTCCGTTCGACATGTGGCAGGAGACGGGCGATGGCACTTGCCTCTGCAGAGGGCATTTGATCGGCTGTCACAACACAAGTGAGCATACGAAATTTCGTAGAGCACGTTTCCGTACATGACACATACCGAAGTCAATCGCCCATATACCAGTGCCAGTCCCCAGATCGATGACTCGCTGCGGTGATTTCAGCGGGGCAAGATACAGTTTCCTGTCCATTATGGCGAGCGTCATCTCATGCACCATGTCGAGACGATCGGCTTCCTTCTCGTCATTGGGTAGGAGGTAATCTGTCGCTTAGCGATTGGTCAGGTCACTACCCAGCAGCGTTTTTATTGCGTTGCAGAAGGTATTGGCGTGCGTACTTCCATCGCGATAGGCATGATACCGTCTGCCGTTCTCGTGTCGGTAATTCAGGATGGAAGACGTCAGCGAAGCAGTGTAGGCTGATCTGTACCAGGTAGCTGTCAGCGTCTTGTCATGTCCTATATGACGGTGATAACGGGAAAGATTCCGACTGACAGTTCATCACCGTAGGAAGAGTCATTCTGTGTGGTCTGAGGTGAATTATGTGAGAAAAGAAGATCAAGGAGTAGCTTTGATTTGGGATATGATAAAGCTACGTGCCTGTGTGTCGACTTCCAGCGGAGCCAAGTCGCCAGGATTGGTAGGCTGTGCCATTTTGGAAGAAGTATCGATCGCACGCGTACCTCTGTGATGATGAAGGGTATGCGAGGATAGACAATCCTAATATATTTGTCCTTGGTCAAACAATTCTTTATGATCTGGTCGAGGCGTCAGTTCAGGAAGAGTCCCAACTACATGTCTATCCTTGCGGAAGTGCCACTGTTGCTTCCGCGAGACACCAACACGCACCATGTGGGGGTTGGCGTTGACGGCTTGTTGTGACTGCATCTGAGATCACAGTTTGCACCTGTTATAGTTAAGCGAAATCTGCAACTCGATGATTCCGGCATACAGAAAGAACTCGTCGGCTGTCGTGAGTAGGTATGTTGCATACGGAGTACATTCCTAAGATGGTGTTGTTGCACGATTATACGAATACGGCTTTCTGATGGGGGGAACATACATACATACGGTAGTCATGCAATTGCGACTGTTTCTTCCATTTCATGATTTCTCTGACCCCGCATTGATGGAACGCAAATAAGGATCTGTCAACCAACTAGGCCATAAAAGCCTAGGTTACCTGATGCCACTCGACAAGACCACACCTCTACCTCCTATCATCGAGATGGAAATTGGGGGGGAAAGGAGAGAGAGAAAAGAAAAGTGACACTCGCATATAGAGAGGAAGATTCTACTAGATTATTCAAAGAAAGCAGGGAACAACATACGGCCCTCCAGCATCAAATCCATCTACGAACTACGGAGCACTTTGTAGAAGGAACGATGGGAACCAACATGACAGGAGCACTGACCATCTGCGCAGGGCAAGCAGACGTCGATCAGAAGGGAGCAAAAGAATACAAGGTCCACTCTGGTGAATTTGCTTAGAATAAGGCTCTTTTGTGGGCACTAAGATGGAGATATAGATAGGTAGTAATATTCTAGAGAAGAACCTCCAAAGGTACATGTAGTCAACTGCATGACTTCGCAACTGGTCCGCATCACTGCCAACTTGCTTTGCTGCCTTACATAGTGCCTTTTCCTTGCCTATCCTGCGGTATTATCTTATAATTTAGCAAAGAAAAAGAGGCATTGAAAGTGGTATATTTCTGGTAGGAGAAACTGGCAAGTGGTGCAGCAGCCAAGCAACGCACACAACCCTAGACCCTAACCCTAATTCTGGTTGAGCCTACTGCCAAAACATAAGGATCATGATCATAGCAGTACATACCTAGGATACTGTCCTAACAGTGATGTGAAGATATGTTCTGCCAGTCCAGAAACTGAATGACAGCCCTGTCTCGGATACCTGTCTGCACCCTAAGCCCTCACTGGGCTGGCACTCACGCTTCACGCTCCATGCTCCCCCTTAACCATCGCCGTGACAACACGCTCAACTAAGCATCCTCTAAACAGATGGAACTTATCGGTGTTAAATTTATTTATTTAATTTTTTTTTCTCGTCCCTGACTGTTCGTGACTCATCTGTCATGCCTAGTCACTGGACCAGCGGGCAACCTGTGGTCCTGCTTGTTTACGACACTCATCACCTCCTTCTTCCTTCCTTCATACCTCTTCACTCGTCTTCACAGCTGAACAAGATCCATTATATCCTGTCTGGAACATTGCTGAGTGACAATCTCTGCTCAAAACACGTTCTTCTTCTATCTTCTACAGGTAAAATGTCGTGTCAGCAGGACGGAGGGAGCCAGCCATGCAGCGAGGAGAAGCATGTCACAGACAAAGCAGAATCCAAGTCCGCAAGCGACAAAGCGAAAGAGACAGGATACTCGCTGTTCTCACTTCTCAAAGAGCTGCATCGACTCTCCTCGAAGGCCAAATTCGAACATAACCCACCTATCCTGAACCCATCCCCTCTAATGATGAGGACCTACCCTCGGCAGATTGTCCCGTGGGAGGATTTCCTTTACCTGCAGAAAGAGGTCTGGGACGTGTTCGTGGCTGAAGACACGTACGTCCGTCGAGAAGACGTGTTTGGACACCACAACCAGGCCCTCTGGAGCTCGATCTATTGGGACAGCAGTTACCGGATCAGCCACGAATGGCAGGTCCGAGACTTCCACCACGGCATGGTCGAGCACGCAGCGCAGTGGATCATCTCGGACCTGTACCGGAACGTGTGTCTTCGACGGCGGTTCGGTCTCGTGGATGGCGAGAAGCCCAGCTTCAAGACCCGCGAGGACCGCGTCTCGCATGTCTGTATCCAGAAGCGCAAAAATGAGCACCGGACTCCCATCTTCGCGATCGAATTCAAGGCCCCCCAGAAGTTGTCCCTGCCCGAACTCATCGCTGGCTTTCAAGAGATGGAGCTCGCTCGTGATGTGATTGACAAGGAGGCTGACACCTTCGAAGACTACGCCAAGCGCCTTGTTGCGGCTGCCATCACCGAGCTGTACTCCTACATGCTCAGTCGCGGAGTCCGCCACGGATATCTCTTCACGGGCGAAGCCTATCTGTTCGTCCATATCCCGTATGAGGACTCGTCTGTCGCCAAATGCCATCTGTCGATCCCGAATCGCGAAGTGGTCGATATCAACGACGAGGACCACCTCCGTCGCACCGCGATGGCCCAAGTGCTTGCCTTCACCCTTTACGCCATGAGAGCGTCGTGGTCGCCTCGGCAGTCATGGTACATCAGCGCCAGCCAGCAGGACACATGGAAAGTCTCGTACATGCAAGTTCTGAGCGGCACTCCGAGATCAGTACGTCGAAAGCCTCCTTCGTTGGAATACAAGCTGCCGTCGTTGCAGCCCGGCTCCGAGACTCGTTATCCCCTGCAAGAAAGCCTCGATCATTCCGATGGAGAACTCGAGGGCGTAACTCGGGAATACTGCACGATGGCATGTCTGCGCAGCCTGATGACAGATGGCGCGCTGGATCAGAAATGTCCCAACGTGCAGCAGCATTCGTTTCACAACAAGCACCCCTTCAGCGCAGAGGAATTCATCCGCCGCCTGCAGGCGCAGCTAGATGAGGACCCAGACCACGGATTCGAACCGCTGCATATCCGCGGCAGTACGGGGTTCCTGGTCAAGGCCAGCCTGTTATCGCACGGCTACACGGTGACCATCAAAGCGACCACGACGCACGGCGCAGAGTACCTCGAGCACGAGATCCAGGTGTACAACCGTCTGCGCCCGCTGCAGGGGTTCGACGTGCCGGTGTGCATCGGCGAGTTGCGTCCGCAGCCGCACTACTGGTATCACGGTGAAAAGACTGTGCGGATGCTGGTGCTCAGCTGGGCGGGCGTCCGTCTGGATTTCGGCATGCTCTACGATGACGACGATGACAGCAACAGCGACAATAACAACAACGACGACGACAATAAGGTCAAAGGCAAGTGCAAGAACAAGAAGAACAAGAAGAAGAAAAAGCACATCGACCACGACAGGAAACACAAGGAGTGTCTCCAGAGGATACAGGCCCTGGGCGTCGAGGTCGACGATACCACCGCCTGGCGCAATTTCCTCTGGAATGAGGAGCTTGACCGCGTCGTGGCCATTGATTTTGAGCGGTTCAATCTGTCGGGGGAGCCGGATGGGGGGCAGAAAAGGAAGAGGTTTTGAAAACTGAAATTGAAATTGAAATTGACATTGAAATTGATTCTTTCTCCTCTCGTCCCATCTTGTCATTTCTTTTTTCCTTTCTTTTGACTTGCTTTTGACTTGAAAAATGAACTTGCTCACTCAGGACATTCGCTGTCATCGTCATGGTGCAGTGATTGAATGACGAATGTCTCTACCGGATAGACAGCTCACACACACTCTCCCGCTCGCTCGCTCTCTCTAGCGTTGCCCTACCAAATAGCAAAATAGCAACGCCACCTACTGTCCGGGTGGAGACTGAGAGGAAGCAGCTGATCAATCCATCAATTGCAATACTACATGTATGTGTTGGAAAAAAGTGTTTCATAATAGAAATAATAAATGCGAGTTAGATCTCCTACAAAAGAAAAGACTATCTCCTCAATCTGTAAATCATTCTCATTCTCGATTCTAGAGACTTTTACTGTCAACAACCTCAACTTCTCCTGACCGCGGCATGCTCTACGGCAATGACAAGAACAGAGCTTTCATTTTTGGGGTAGTTTGGCGTCCCCAGTCCCGTCGCTGGGTCCCATCTGCAGTTCGGTTCAATCAGCCTAACTCTTCATCTTACCACAATCTCGTGGAAGAGAGTGAAGTTAAGAGAAACTCACCCTGGGACAGCACGGAAGCCTTCCGTACCACATCCAACATTCGTACCATTTGTGATGTCGTTTAGCACCTCCGGGTGGGCGTACAGGACCGGATTAACAAATCCTACAGGGCCCTTGCCTATGGCGAAGCGCTCTTCGTTGATCTAGAGGATTCCTGTCAGTAAGGCTCTAGTCTACTGAGGGCTGATACCAGTCGCACGGTGATCAGAATTGCGACATTGAAAGATGGACGCACCAAAGTCAAAACCGAGGCAAACAACGGCGCAGCCAGACTCGTCCCATAAAAGTAATAGTCGATACCGTCCGTGTACGCGCGGAAATTGGCCCCGTTTGCGGCGACATCAGGATACGCTCTTCCGATGCGATTGTACAAGCCCTGCGTAGTGTTGAAATCGACACTGAACTCGGAGTAATAGGGGTACGGCGGGTCTGCGGTGGCGAAGTACTTGGCAACTGCGGCCTGCTGGTACGACGGCTGGGGGAAGTAATTGGAGAATCCTCCAGAGGAGCTGAAATTCTGGGCCGTGCCGCTCAAATTCACGTGCATGACGCTCTCGGGCATTTTAACGGTCTGGTCCGGGTACAGCATGGTGCCCCCAACGGAGGTAACATATGGGCAGTTGGATGGGTACTGCGGGTTGAAAATCGTGCCTTTGGGACCCAGACAGCCGTTGGTTGATCCGCTGTCACCAGGGAATGAGGCCACACCGTAATCTCCGGAAGCGATCAAGATGGAATGGCCCTGGAGACCGAGCTTCAAGAACTCATTGCACTGGCGCTTCGTGTAGTTGATGGGCAGATCGGATTCAGCTTGCCCATACGAAGCACTAATGACATTGGTAGGCTTGTAGACGCCGCATTGGAGTTTCCCTGCACAAGTGAGCATTTCGCCTTGCAAAGGACGACGGCAGAAATACCTTTATAACCACCAGGTGCAGGATCAGGGTACACAGGATCAATGGATGGATCATCTCCAGTCTCGCCGTAAGCGCTGTAGTTACAGTACGACTGGGAGGAATTAGCCAGGGTCTCATCACCGCGCGTGACGGGAAGCATACTCCATCGAGAGCATCGAGAAAAGTGTTGAAAAGGTTGGTGGTAGCAACTTCCTGCGGCTCATAAATCTGGTCGTCGGTCTGATAAAGGGTTACATTCTGGGGATAGATTAGGGAATACCTGTTTCGGTCAGCAATCACTCTAACAAGAAGCTGGGTTCAATCTCACTGACGCCATGTCGATGTCAATATCCGCCTCACCCCCATTCCAGGGACTGTACGCGGGAACAGAATAGTTGGCACCATCAATAAGTGCTGGAATGGGGAAGGTGCCCTGAGGGACCCAAGGAGCATATTCTGCGTAGAACAGATTGACATCCCCCTCGTTGAAGTAGTCTCCTTGCTCGTAAAGACCGAGGGAGTTGCCGGGTGTCGCCAGAGTCGCATTTGGGATCTGATACAGAGCCTTGATACACGTCGGCGTGATATTTCTCCCGCAACCTTGCAGATCTTCAGGAAGGTTGGCAGCGGATGGCGGCTTATAATCCAACGGAAACCCGTCAAATGGAGAGGATTGGAGAGAAACACGATTTGGCCGCTTTGGATACAAATGTGACTCTCGCTTGACCTGAACAGTCCTCTTGACCACTGGTGTAAGTTTGACACCAGGGGTAATGTAGTCGATGTGCGGCTGGAGATGCTCTGGGACATGGTACCTAGCACGCATATCAACAAGGCATTCGCTCCAGGACAGCAAGCAGTGCCTACTTATCACATCCAATTCGCACTTTGGAACTGTGCTTGTGTTCATGCTCATGGAACTCCGTGAGCAGCAGTCGCTCAGCTTCGTCCACGGTTGCATCGAAAGCCAGCCAGCCCTTGTTGTCAGAGTGCACGATTCGCGAATGGTGGATTCCGAATGAAGTCAGCCATTCCTTGACGGCTTCCACGGTCTCCTCTGTCGGGGCAAACATGCGGTGCACCTCCTCTGCCGACCAGTATTGGCCGTATTTTGGAGAGTCCGGATGCGAACTGGGATGATCATCAGCTTCAAATTCCAGGCATTCCACTATCTCGCGCTCCATTGACGGCCCTCCTCGACTTTTCGAAAGGGGGAAATCCTTCTGATAAAAGAGTGAATCCGTCACCTACACTTCCACTGTAGATCGAGTCAGTCTAAGGAATCAATTCATGTTGGGATTCAATGTCAAATGAGCTATAGGACACTAGTGGAGACACAAGCATGCTTGAAATTCTCGAAGCCATGCAGAATACACATACTCAGGTAGTCATGAGCCTTCTCTAGATTGGTCTGGGTCAGGCCGATCCGCATCGGTAAGATAGCATTGCGCTCGACACGAGCACCCTTAACCCAGTCTGACGCTGGTTTCAGGCGTCTCTCGTGCAGGATATGTTTAACTGGCTTGACTGACGCGGGAACAGCGTTCGAGAGAGCCGCAATGGCGGCAATGAGGGCGAATTGTAGGACCAACATCGTGGGTCAGCCTGCTCACTCGGTCGTGACGGAGCGGCATGACGGGCGAGGCCCCCTTTTATAAGACAGTCCATAATAATAATAGCTCGATCTATACTAAATAGACGCATGAGGGGCGATAGCAAGGATATGTAGCTAAGGATGGCGCTTGCAGCGAAAAGGAAGGAGAACAGGGGACGAAGGGGTCGAGGCGTCGCCATTGGCGGATTGGGCGGTGCCTGGCTTATCTGCCAGCGTCGCAGCGGGGAAACGCCTCCAAACCCTGCTAATCCAATCTTGATGATATTAAGGTCCGTTTCAAAACTAGTGCGTGGCTGATGAATCTGGCCAGTCTTTTTGCAGAATGCCGTGGAGTGCTGATGACAGGTGAGATGAAGCTTGTCGTTGGTTATGCAGATAAGCCTAACTGAAAGCTTAGCCCTCGCCCTAATCATCGTTAGTGCTTAATTGCGCGATGGATGGCGTTGCTATGTATCAGTCAGGGTAGCATCATGAGATAACGACAGCAGACAATTTTTGTTGTTATATTTGTCTTTCTATTTGCTCCTGATCTCATTCAAGCCCCTTTTCCGACTTCAGTACGGAGTAGAAAGGCTACACAATGCAGTTGACCTACAGACACCGCTACAGCAACCACAGAAGCATAGATAATAGAGGATTGTTGCAGTCATGGACAGTCTCATTTAGGCATATTATTATCCAATGCCATTCCCTTCCTTAGGGAGTACGAGTCAGGATACAGGTTGTACCCCTCACTCCCAGAACAAGTAACTAGGTAACCAACTACCACCACCATCTGCACAGTTAATTAACATTGGTACTATATCATCCCACTCACTTATCTGATGATTCAGTCCATATTGCCCAAGGGAAAAAAAAGGGATGGTCGGCGGTGCCTTAGAAGTCAGCCGTGAAATTGCCCTCTATTTGCTCGTGAGTGGATTAGAGGGCGTCTGTGTGGTCAACGGTACTAAGAGTGAGGCGCATATGCGTGAGGATTTCGATGGAGTCAACAACTGGAAGAGGTGGATTGATGAGAATGAGAATAATCAACGGAGATGGAAAGAATATATGAGAAGCTTTAGAGGTATGGTTGATTAATTAGTTGAGATTACTATATATTTATTTTTTTTCGCTTCGAGGGTGAGATGGTGGTCCCACCTACATATATATAGGTAGAACCCCTAGGTACTAACAGATTCAATCAAGTAGTAAGTACTATATAGCTTCATGTTTCTGTCATTTATCTATCACTTAACCAACTCCTATCCTGGATCTAGGAAACGAAATGAATTGAAATGGAGAGTAGAATGCCTACGTATGGAGTTAGAGAATCCATTCATTCCGACAGATCAGACCAGATCAGATACGTCAATAACTACCTATTTAATCAATTCGTCTAGTAGGTGAGAAAACATGCCTCTAGTGCAACCGTCGAAGCGCCTCGATCATCTCCCGCACCGTCTCCACCTCCGCATTCCCCCCAACCACTCCGAGAATCTCCTCCTGGACGGCCGGTTCACACACCAAGAACTGCTCGATTAGCTCGCCGTCCACGAACCGGAAGGGCTCCTCCGCCTCGCGCACCGCGCTCCGGAACGCGCGGAACTTGTTGAAGGGCATCTTGCCTGGGGAGTCCACATAAGCGGCAATCGCTGTCTGTAGCCGCATGAGGAAGTCTTGGTGTTCGGGATTGATGAGTGCGAAGAGGTAGATTGATCCCTCGACCTGAGTGTTGTTAGTTATCACACAGAAATTGAGAAATACAAAGGGCATATCACGTAGGAAAGAAAAGGCTTACCGTCCCCAAAAACGCCCTCGGAGTCACTGCCACACTCGATGTCTGCGGAATGTTCACCGGCCGGATTCGATTGACCATCTCCCCTAGCAGCATCTCGCTCGTCACCTCCAGTCGTCGGCGATCGTCATCCGTCACCCCGTTGACGTTCCGCCGCAGGACAATCAGATTGCCCTCGGCGTCACTGACCAGCCACATATTCTCGCCGATGTCTGCCACCGCCGTCGTCCACACCGTCGAGAAATGCCGGGCCACCTCCTTGGTCTGTTCAGTAAACCGATCCCCCTGCGACGACTCGACAATCGAAATGCTCTTCATCAGATCGGCCACGGCAATGATATTGTCCGTGACAGCAATATCGACCGGTGCCGTCGACGTCCGGTACGTGGCGGCTTTGTTAAGCTTGACCTTTCCAAACGATTGCGTCTCAATGTTAAAGATAACCACCTGAGACTGTTAGCAATACGATGACATAGGCTGGGAGTGAGGCTAACCGTCTTGACAAGGGCCGCTACAATCTTCTCCCCCATCATCGCCAGCGCCCGACACGCCCCCTTGACCGGATGCTCCGTAACCAGTCCCAGCTTCCGGTTCGAGTCGACCTCAAACATCAGGATCCGTCCCCGGATCGACTCCTCTCCTTCGTCGTCCAGATATGCAGTCCCCACGATGAACCGATCCCTGTAGATCGGCTCGCCCCTCTCGTCCTGGCCTGTGCGGATTTCCGCCCGGATCACGCTCTCGACGAGCTCGTCCTTGCGCAGATCATACGCATCCAGTCGCCGGAACATAATCTCGTCCGCCAGCACGAACTGGCTCTCGACAATCTCGGCGCCATCCTGCAAGGTCCGTTTGATCGTGCCGATCCCAAACGCCTTCTCCGCCGGCGAGTACGCCACTCGTCGGACGGTAGCGCCGATGGGCAGCGTCTGGATCTGCGTCGTCCGCTCCTTGTCTACCAAAGCGATCTTCAATTCCCGTGGAGTCGCGACCGCGATGGAGCCCGGGTACGCTTCCGTATTGAAGTGGCAGATGCGGGACGCGCCCTCCGAATTCACGGCCGAGTAGATGATCCGGCCTTCAGACCCGTAGATCAAGCTGGGGTGCTCGCACGTCGCAAAGACATTGAACAAGCCGTCTCCCCGCGGGAGCTTTTTGAAGAACGGCTGCTCCGAGCCCAGGATCAGCTTGCTCGTCCCGGTGAGGAAATGGTCCTTCACGTTGTACGAGAACGTCACCACACTGCCGTCGGCCATCGAGATGAACAGCGTCGGCGGGCTGTTGGCGAGAATATCCGCCAGCAAAACGGACCGTGGGAACGCCTCGCCCGTCGGGCCCAAAGACCTGGTATGGAGCTCCTCCAGATCGGCTAGAGATAACACGGACACTCGTGCAGACTGCGGGAAAGCCACAATGCAGACCTGCGTCGGCGACTCTGGAATCGTGACGCCCGAGATCTGATTGTCCACTCCGAAATTCTTCTGCGCTGTCACCTTGAGGTCATCCCGGACATCGAGGATCAACAACACCTGACCTCCAGTGACGAGCACCAAGCTATCATCGTTGGACGAGGCGGACGTAATCAACTGCTTGTTTGGCGGAGACCAATGGGACGTCACCATGCCACTTTCTGTATCTGCGATACTGACCCCACTCTCCGTAACTTGTAGGATGCGGCCATTTGGGAGATTGCACGCATGGAGAGTGCTCTCCGAGAGGCTCAGGCCCAGGAACTCGTCCAGCTCTTCGACCTCACCTTCCGGGTCGAACCGGAACACTCGCGTTTCGTCGACAAAGGTAACGAGGAGCGTATCCGCAAAGTCTCCCTGGCTGGAGACCTGTAATGCCCACAGATCCGTAATATGATCCATCTCTCCCAAAACTCCGAGCTCTTCCATGCCGACACCGCTCCGCACACTTCGTAGGGTACCATCATTAAAGGCACCGGACCCGGTCACGATGCGTGCCTGCCCGGATGAAAACTCGTGCGTATAGTTTTCCCCTTCTCGGGTGCCTAGATCCATGATGGTAAAGTCCAGGATGGGGGCAATATTCGACAGCGTCTGGATCACCTCAAAGGAGCCATCGCCAATCCGAATGACTTGCGAATCGCCCTGGTGAGAGCCAATGAAGGTGACGCCCGCACCCAGGTAGACCAGCACCGACGCGCGCGATGTATCTCCCAGATAGTCAAGCTTCCAACTCTCGACCTCATTATTAGAATCTAGGAGTAGCATAAGGAAGAACAGCCGGCCGTAGTCATCGGCCAGCAGCCATCGCTGACCGTCGACCTGTTCCCAGGCGACAAAGACAGTGGCTTCCTCGAGAGGCTGGGAGATGGTTTCATTGCTGGCATCGTCGATATATTTGATCGAGGTTTCCCCGAGAATCAGTAAACCTCCTGTATCGGAATGATCTTAGCACAGATCATCAATCACCATCCGGTAAAGTTGGAATACCTACCTAGCGGAGCAGGGACAGGAATCAGATGCGACGCGCCAAGGTCCAAATCCTGTGCAAAGACCTCTCCCTCGGCGAAGGAAGCCTCTGCGCTGCTGCTCGACGTCGCGGGACTGTACTGCAGCTCCCTGACCTTCAGCCGCACTTTCCGCTGGTTATCCTCATACAGCAGGGCCAAGCGCGGCGGGGCTCTGCTTTCAACGTGCAAGAAAGCGGACGAACGCACGACCAGCTCGTCAATTCGCGCCATGACAGGTTCGCCCAATTCCCCGACCTGCAGCGGTGGTTCGTCTAGGTTGTTTGCGTTGTTTGCGGCAGCAAGCTTCCCTTTCTTCTTGCTTGGCTGGACAATGGGGATCACCGTAATGATCCCCTCGAAAATCTCAAGGGTCATGAATCGCCCACTGGGGTCGATCAAGCATCGATCGCCCGTCTGGGACTCCCGCGACGACTTGTCGGCCAGATCGACATAGCTCCGCTCCGTGCGGACCTGGCTGGTCGAGCTATCCCAAGATAGTGTGAAATAGGTATTCTGGTCTGTTCCGACGAAGAGATGGTCCGTGGGGGAGTTTGCGGGCGCTGGCAGGCGAGCCAGCATGGTCACCTTGGCATAGAGGGCGCGCGAAGCGGTCAGATTGAGGCCATCGGGGGTGAGGGAATAGAACTCGAGCCGGCTTGCTTTGCTATTATCTCAACGGATCAGTAGGCTGTTCTGTGAGCGATCGGAGGCCAGGACGTACGCGACCACCAGGGAGTCTTCCTCCGGCTTGAAGAATTGCAGCTTCAGCGCATGCCGGATGCTGCTAGCACGATGGATAGGAACCACGTAGGCCATGGCTGGTAGTTTTCTTTCTCACACTCTCACTCGCGCTCAATCGCCGATGATTCTCGTCGGGGACCGGAAGCTCTGCATCAAGTTCAGCAGAGGCGAGGCCGGCTCAAAAACGTCTCATCTCCATGCGCGACACAGCCCAAGGACAGCGAACAAGGGTCAATGTGTCTGGGGGGTGAAATTGGTCAGCTTGGGCGGGGTGGAGAGATGGCAGACTGATAGATCGGCGATGACGTTCCGCCTTCCTTTTAGTGCCGTCTTTGCTCCTTGGAGGTGGAGCCGTCAAGCACTCAACCTGCAATACTTTGGAAGATTATCTGGACTTTGTTTTATTGCGACAAGCATGGCAATACTGTTTTCTACAGTGCACATAAATGGTGTACAAACAGTGGATCAACAAATATATCGTCACGAATCTGCACAAGATGGCTTTCACCTCCCGGCTCTCCCACGTGACCGGAGAGCAGATGCTCCTCGACCAGATCGGTCACGAATCAAGATTTGATGATCGTCGATCTTCTGCATAGTTTTGCAGAGTGCAGGGAATCCAAACCGGAACGATCCTCTCCATTCTGTGTTGCTTTCATGAGTGACCTTTCTGTCTTCTTCACCCGGGTCTTCGTCGATAGATCTCTGTCATCTGCCACCAATGGTTGGCAGGCAAGGCCCTCAAATTTGGCCAGCTGAGGGTTGTTGTTCAGGGACGTGCAGGTGCAAATGCCACCCTGATCTCCGTTTCGATCATATCCTGAAGCACCTGGGCAGACTTCAGTGTTGTTCCGTTCCACTGGCCTGGTTGATCAGATGGCTGATGCTTCCAACGAAATCTGCCTCAAGGCCCTCTCCAGGCCCAGCGCCAATCCCAACGCACACGAGACACCCTGATAGGCTTTTGAGAATCATACATATCATGCATATCTCGCCAATGACTGTCGATACGTGGTTGTACGGTTTTCTTTGTTTGCCGTTGGAAAGTGGACAGGGGTCCTGAGAGAAAGTATTGTGACTGGTCAATCGAGTATAGGCCCAGTACTCTGGAGTACACTGTCGGTGAATATCATCGTTTACTGGAGTGACATGGAGCGAGAAATTAAGAATCTCTCATTTGCCATGGATCCACCTGCATCCATTGACGCGCAGAGGGCTGTCGAGTCCAGGTTCGACGTCCCGGTTGGTCTAATAACTAGTCTTCCTTGTCCTTCTCGGAATTCGTCTTCAGGTCTATTTAACAGGTATCTAAAAGGTGTCTAGACGGCGACATTAACGAAGTTTTTTCCTACCTGCGTTGCCGGAGACAAAAGCCCTCAAAATCCTCCTTTTCAGCAGAAGACTCAACTGGGAATTCCCGCCGTCCACGTTCTAGACCTGAATCAATCCTTTGGCCTATAACTAGACATAATCAGTTGTAACTACAATTGATTGGGAATCCAAAGCAACTGACCATACTCATGGATTCCGACCCTCACATTCGGTTCAAACTCCCGGGGAAACGGACAGATGATCAACCGTCTATCCTTCAACTCTCCTGGGTCGTTACCCTATCTCTCTATACCGGCTCTAATGAGGTCCTGTTCGAAACGGCTGTGATGCAGCCTGTGGATGTCGGGCGCGCTGCCCCCCTCCCAAACTTTCAGCCGCTGCAGATCCGATTACAGCCCCAGAAGACCGTCGCTGAGGAATTGCAATCGATCCAGGCACAAACGAGCTTGAGCTGCCAGAGCGGCAACCATCGGAACCTTCCAACTGGGAGAGCCAGAGTCTGCTCGTGATCCAGCAGTCTGGCCCCGGAGCCAAATCGCGGGCACCCTGGAGACGCTATCCCCTGGTCGTGGAGTGCAAGCTGGTACCCATCGACTCGATCGAGGTCAAAATCTCGTCCATCGTCGTGTCGTGGTGGCAAATGCAACGGATGCTTTACCAGTTTGTCCATGTAGTACTACAGATCCACCGCGGTCTCGATGGGCCGCTGGCCGATACCATGACCCTGAGCCCCGAAGATGAGGCGCTTCTGCGAGTCTGGAATGGAGAGCCTGTGCAGCCGGTCGAACGATGTGTGCATGAGCTGATACAGCTGCAATGCACAGGACGTCCGGACGCGCTGGCGATCTGTGGCTGGGATGGCAACCTCACCTACCAGCAGCTGGAGGAACGGTCATCCCGGCTAGCCAGCTCTCTGATGCGCTTGGGTGTTGGCCCGGAAACCTTTGTTCCTCTCTGCTTCGAAAAATCCTGCTGGACGACCGTCGCCATGCTCGGAGTGCTGAAAGCCGGAGCCGCCTTTGTTCTGTTAGATCCCTCCCATCCCACGGAGCGCCTGCGCCAGATCTGCGAGGACGCGGGCGCAAGACTGGTGGTCTCCTCAGTTCAGGAAGCAAGCCGAAGCGCATCCCTAGCCGCCGTGGTGGTCGTTCTGGATGACCATGATGGCGATGGCAATGGGCAGACGCACCCCAGCCAAGGGAGGATGCCATCGCCCAAGGTCCAGCCCAGCAATGCCGCCTACGCTGCCTACACCTCCGGGTCAGCAGGGGCCCCCAAAGGGGTAGTGATTGAACATGGCTCCTTCTGCACAAACGCCCTGGCCCACGGGAAGGCGTTTGGTGTCAGCGCGACATCCAGGGTGCTCCAATTCGTCTCCTATGCTTTCGACGCCAGTATCATGGAGATCCTGACCACCCTCGTGCACGGCGGGTGTGTCTGTGTGCCATCGGAGGCCAGCCGGTGCGAGAATCTGGCAGAGACGGTTGGAGAATTCAAGCGAACTGGTTCTTTCTCACCCCGTCGTTAATCAAGCTCCTACAGCCAGACCAGGTGCCCTCCATTCAGACCATCATCCTTGGGGGAGAACCCATTGCGCGGGTGGACGTGCAAACCTGGGCCGATCGAGTGCAGCTGGTGCTCTGCTACGGTCCAACTGAGTGCTCGGCCATCTCGACTGCAAAGCTAGCCGTGACGTGCGACTCGGATCCCAGCAATATCGGGTTGCCTGTCGGGTGCGTGTGCTGGATCGTCGATCAACATGATCCTCAGCGACTGGCACCCATTGGCGCCGTGGGCGAACTACTCATAGAGGGACCCATAACCGGGCGGACATACATCAACCGGGCTGACCAGACTGCTGCCTCCTACGTCCGCGATCCGGTATGGCTGCAGCCGCTCCGACGGGCCGTTCGACCGCTCTACACGACCGGTGACCTCGTCCGCTATGAGCCGGACGGATCGATGCAGTATATCGGTCGCAAGGACACGCAGGTCAAGCTGCGTGGCCAGCGGATCGAGCTCGGCGAGGTCGAACAGGCTATCCGGCGGAGCATGCGCAACGTCAAGGATGTGGTGGCTGCAGTGGTGACGCCCGCGACCTGGAGTAGGAGGCCGATACTGGTCGCTTTTATCTGGTTCGCTGGTCTTTCAAGCGACGTCCATGGGTCGTCAGAGCCGTTGGCACCCCCGAACGAGACGTTCAAGCACGAATGTCGCCAGGCGGAGCGTGTTCTGCGCGAATGCCTGCCACCGTACATGGTCCCTACTCTCTACTTTCCACTCGCCCGGCTTCCGCTGACGCCAAATGGGAAGGCAGACCGGCGACGACTGATGGCGCAGGCGTCCCAGCTCTCCCGCGACGAGATTTCGTCCTATGCGACCGGGCAGGTCAAACGATGCCAGCCGGAGACCGACCACGAGAGGACGGTGCAAGCACTGGTCGCGCAGGTGCTCCATCTCTGCGCCGAGGACGTTGACTTGGAGGACAGCTTTCTCTACCAAGGAGGCGACTCCATGGCGGCGATGAAACTGGTCGCCCTGGCGCGAGAGGCCCAACTATCGCTCAGCACCGTCCAGGTGCTGGGAGCAGCGACCTTGGCCGAACTCGCGTGCAGCGTGCCCCCCTCGCAGGGCCAGACGATTGTCGAGGAAGAAGATCCTTTCTCGCAGTTGGGGATCGGCGACCCGGCTGCCTTTGTAGAGCAGACTGTGATCCCCAAGCTGCCCGGTGTATCGGTCAGTGATATCGAGGATGTGCTTCCCGCAACGGAGCTGCAATGGTTCTTCTGGAAGCTGCCCTGCGAATACTTCCGGCTGCATCTCCGCGGGCATCTGGATCGAGCCCGGTTCGACCGCGCTTGTCAGCACCTTCTCCAGCGACATTCAATCCTGCGCACTGTCTTCGTAGAAGATAACAACCAGTTGCTGCAGGTCGTGCTCGGCCGTTGCGACATACCCGTAGAATCGTATACCCGCAACACCGATCTGTCCGAGTTCATCGCCGCACTGGAAAGGGAGGACTCGACACGACCCCTGCCCATGACAGCGCCATCGGTTCGATTGATCTTGGTGACAGACAATCAGGCGGAACACACCCTCGTGATGCGGATGCCCCATGCGCTATATGATGGCTTTTCAATCCCCTTGCTGTGGCGGGACTTGGCCGCCCTGTACGAGAACCGCCCCCTATCGCCTGCCGTGTCGTTTACGCGCTGTCTGGCACACTGCAACTCCAGCAAAACTGCCGCGGCTTTTGGCTTTTGGCGGAGGCTCCTGCACGGCGCTTCCATGACATACATCGGACACGGATGGAGGGATGGGATCTCCACCCCGGACGTCCGTGTGGAAGCAAGTCGACGGATGCCCATCTGCCGTCCACCGGGGGGCATCGCGCTCGCAACCGTCCTCAAGGCGGGATGAGCCTTGACCCTGGCCCATTACTCCCACAAGACCGATATCGTCCTCGGGCAGATCGTGCACGGCCGGTCCGTGCCGCTGTCAGGAATCGAGATGCTGGTCGGGCCGTGCCTCAACAACACACCCGTCCGAGTGACGTTGGAGGCGCACTGGACAGCGCTGGACCTGCTGCAGCACGTCCAGACGCAGCATCTCCAGTCCGTGCCGTTCGAAACGATCGAGTTCAGCCAGCTCGTCGAACAGTCGACCTCGTGGCCCCGCCAGACCCAGTTGGGCTCGTTGGTCCTACATCAGAATCTGGAGCCATTATCGGCGATACGCATGGGGGAGCTGGATGGGACCATCAGCCACAGTTTCTACCCCAGGGAGAAAACCGCCGAGTTCATGGTCTACTCGACGCCCGGCGCAACCGAGCACGAGATTCGCTTCGTCACATCCCGAGCGATGCTAGACTTTGAAACTGCGGACGGGCTGGTCGAGGCTCTATGTGAGTATATGCGGCTGCTGACGCTTTATCCGGAGCGGCCGCTGAGTAGGATCTTGACTCCTGGGAGGAAGTAGGTAGATGTAGGAATTGAGCATGGCTAGTAATTGACCTATATATATTGCTCTAAAAAAAATAAAATAAACGTATATAGAACAATTACAAAGATCAATCCTTCTTTGCTTTTTATTGAACAGTAATACAAAATAACAGATGGATAGAGCTGATTAACCCGTCAAAAAAATAGTAAATATCTTCTAGTTTAATGTAAGCTCCTCCTCACGGAACTACTGTACACTCTTGGTAACTATAATGTTCATAAAATCAACCCTTCTCTAATGATAATATCTAGACCTTGCCTCCATTTAAATATTCTAACGTAGAATCTAGGGCACGCATACATAACATACGTTACGAAAAAATAAGGTAAAAAAAGGAACGCAGGGCTCGACCGGGAGTCGAACCCGGGGCCTCACCCATTCAAGAAGTTCATGTTCCCGAAGGGCGAATCATACCAACTAGACCATCGAGCCTGACGGTTGTGATGTGCGTGGCGAGTTTTTGATTGAACCAATAGATTTGGTGGGAATGGTCAGCAGTGTCTGTATCCCCCCTATTACTGTACAAAGAAAATACATGCGGACAAATTGTAACGCTTATGTCAGCACCCGCGCTTAGTCAGCACCCGTTCTAGCTATTACATAAGCTTTGCGGCCATTCTCCTAACGTGATCTATAACCTAGTCGGACAAATGGCCTAGTCGGACACTTCCCCACCATCATACAGCTTCACAGTCAAATTTCACCACAACTATATAGAGAAATCATCTAATTACATTAAGAACTATTTCTTGTACGCTGGGAGCATGTACGGGCAGTATGCCCAACTGTTCCACATATACTGCACTGACGTGCAGCACGTTTTTGTGGTCTTTCCTCAGTAACCTCAACCACCCTACTCTCCTCTTCATTAGCTCTTCGTACACGATCTATCCCTTCTTCAATAGTTAAAGCATCTTCCTGTCCTATATATGTACGGCGCCTCTCTTGCTTTCTCTTTTGCTTCTCATT